TTATTATTATTATTATTATTATTATTATTATTATTATTATTATTATTATTATTATTATTATTATTATTATTATTATTATTATTATTATTATTACAAACACAGAGCAATAGCTACTAGAGGGAAACAGAAGCTTTTTCATCAACAGGTGTGACAAGTAAGCTGCTACATTTATTGGTCTAGCACAGTGGTTCTCAACCTTTTTAATGCCGCGACCCCCAACCGGTCGTAAGTCGAGGACTAAACCGGTCGTAAGTCAAGGACTAAACCAGTCGTAAGTCGAGGACTAAACCGGTCGTAAGTCGAGGACTACCCAACCGGTCGTAAGTCGAGGACTTTCCCTGCCCGGGAGCGCCGCACATGCGTGGTTCTGCCCCCTGCGCCAGCCGAGGCGTAGCTGGCAAGCGGCAGAGATGGAGCAGGTCAACCACCAGCCGGCCCAGCTCAAGGGAGGTAAGGCACCCGCCGGAAAAGGGGAAAAAAATGGCGGGCAGCCTTGCTTGGCGACCCCCGTGAAATGGTCGATCGACCCCAAATGGGGTCGTGACCCATAGGTTGAGAACCACTGGTCTAGCAGATGATTTTGCTTCCATATCTACAAATGAAGAATGCTGAAACTTTTTTAAATATAAGAGATGGATCAGAATTTTCATACCCCTTCCTACACCAAATGGTTGATTTCCCCACATTGTTTCTTTATGTTCCAGATATTTGGATTAATTTTTTATCATATTTCATGTGGACTTTCTATATTGTTAATATTTTATATTCTAAATATAAAAATATTAAGAACATAGGGTTTCCTGCCTGAGCAGGGAATTGAACTAGAAGACCTTCAAGGTCCCCTCCAACTATTACTACTACTACTACTACTACTACTACTACTACTACTACTACTACTACTACTACTACTACTGTTGTTGTTGTTGTTGTTGTTTTCTTAATATAGAATAAGAAATGACTTTGATCAGTTAACTAAAATATTTTTGTAAACAAGAAATGATATCAGTTCTGATTTGCAACAATGTTAATCATCTGATGATCAAACTGGAGGTGCAACTATTGTGTCACCCTGAAAATGCCTTTTTATGCCTCAAAAGAAGCATTTATAGGGGAAAAACAGCATCCACTTTCTCTCTCAACACATAACACAGAATCTTGAAAGCTTTGTGCTTTAAAGATGGATACATAACTATGACAGTGAAAAACAGATCAGATGTGATGGCCTTCGGCACCGAGAATAAAAATGACAACACAGGGAGAAGACAATGGTACGGAAGGAAGGAGACAGAAAAAGTTGGTGTGTAAATGCCAAATGACATTAAGGAGAAGGAGGAGGAAGACATGCTGTTGATAATAGTGTAGACATGTTAGGCACCTTTATAATTGCTCTATCCCTTTTTATGACTATTTTGGATGCTGTCAATGGAGGTGAAGAATTAATCCTATTATAAGTAAGGAGCACAACAATTTCTTTTAAAATCATATTGCTGTATGTTTTTTGCCATTTTTTCATGCTCTTATTTTTTTTTTTTTTTCAATATAAAATTTTATTGTTTTTATCATAAAAAAAAAAGAAATACATCACAGATATTACACAATGTTATATCCCATCCCCCCACCCCCCGGACTTCCCAAACCAACCTAGGCTAATATTCAAATACAAGTAAACAAATATTAATATCTCTAACTCCAAAGTCTAAACTTAAACAATCCATCTCCTCCG